AAAAAAAAAAAAAAAAACTTTGACAACCCCAGAAAAAAAAAAGTAGATGCTATTTTCTGTTTGACACATTAAATCCATGAAAGGCCAAGCATTTAAAGACGTCATTTTTTCAACATTTTTAGCTAAAATGTAACCCTATCAGTGTTATTTTCACAACAGGTAAAAAGTTTAAGTAGCTTCATTGCTAAATCCATAGGAGGACAAGCTAAGCATTTAAAGTCATCATTTCTGTATCATGTTTTACAAAGATGTAACACTATTAATGTTATTTTCAACAATGGTAAAGGTACAAGTTGATGCAAACAGGTATTAACAGAGGAAGCAAATAGCCAGGATCACTTGCATGACAGAATCACTTGCATCTAATATAGACAACACATAATCACAGATTTTAATCAAACATAAAATCAATACTTATCTCTTGAAGCGTGACCGCGATTGCGATAGGAACCTCCAAGCCAGAGCAAAGTCGTCCACAAGATCATCCTCCAGTTCCCCAGTCTTCTGCGGTGTGACCCAAATAATACCCAGAATTGGCAAAACTCGTGTGGACGAGTTTCTCGTAGTAAAACCGTATAGTAAAAACCATAACCTCCTTATGGAATAAGACCTCTTTATATAGCCACAAGTTTTAGGGTTTAAAACATTTTCCTAAACTCGTTGGGTCTTCCTTTACCACCAAGAAATATGATTCCATTTAATTTTTAATTATTCGGGCACAACAGGAACCGCAATATTTAATTAACGAGGCTTCCTATTATGGACTTAATTCGAAATATCTGAATTAATACTACCATAATAAATTACGAATTAATCCACTAAAAATTTATAATTGCACTCCTCAGTTTAATTTCGAAATTCTTCCATTAAACATTATTTAACTCCTCATGTTAATATTCAGATATTAATCAAATCAATTAAATTACTGACAATTTAATTCATTGATTATTTCCTTTAGACTTTCGCTTAACTTATTTCATGTCACGGAAACAAAATCCACTTGCATAGTTTACACATGAAAACTTATAAGCTTTCATAAAGGTGTATCATCAATCACTAGACCGAGGCATGAATTCCTTCAACTAACTATTACTTCGCCAATGTATATCATCATTGTCCAATTTACTAGGCATATTGACTCACAAAAGAAATCTCTTCTTTTAATAAATTAAAATAATAAATAATACACACAACTAATAATAATTATATCAAGATTAAGAGTATAAGTATGTTTAGTGGCTAGAGAAGTTATTTTATTAAGTCGGTATAAAATACTTATCTTTACTTGGTACATTCAATACATACAAAATATACTAACACAAGAAGTCGGAATTAAATCATTCACATAATCAAGATAAATTATATTAATCTTGTTCTATAATCATTCCTGATAGTTTGTTCAATTCCATCATTAGATTGTGAACATGATCTTTATACCTATAAGAATCAATTATTTAATCTTTCGTGTATAAGCTAAACTCTATACACTAAATCATCTACCATATAAGTAAAGAACACAAACGAATATATGATCTATTTAAAACTTTATTAAAATTGAATAAATAATTACTCCATAATAAATACTATATCCAAATCAAAATTCATGGTTAATAGTATATATCCCACACAACTAGCTTCATTGCTGAAATGCAAGAAAACAAACTCAATAGAGAAGTTCTTTAACACCAAAGCAATGTACATAGGAGCTGCTATGATTTCCATTGAATTCTTTAGACCACACTTCATTTTTCAATAGTTACATACGTGCACTCGATCTTGAGCCGGGGTCTATCGGAAGGTCTGCGTACACTCTATCCCAAATCCTACTTTGTGAGATTACACTAGATTTGTTATTCTTGTTGTATATAAGTGCACTCGAATGTGTTCTACAAAAACCTCAGTTTTTCCAAAACGTATCAAGGTGGTGCTTGTTTTAAATTTTCAAACCAAATTTTGCGTTTTTGAAAAAACAATATTACTTGAAAAGCTACTCTCATTCCATTTAGATATTCCCAAGTCGTTAAAATCTTTCAATATTCCAAATATTAATTAATTTCTTTTCTTTTTTTTTGAAATTGTGAGTGAATAATGCTAGTATAGAGTACCAAAAAACATCCCATCAAACAAAAGGAGCAGATCACAAGAATGTAATAGAGCCAAGAGAGCGACAGAATTCAGCTTCAATTTCCAAAGTGCCATATGCAATGTTGAATCCAGTTCATCCACAGATCCATTATGTAATTGTACAACAACGACAGGCCCTTAGCTTCTTTTCACATCAAAGAGGGTTGATATTGATTATACAACACTATTCTTGTTAACGAAAATCACTCTGGTATAGTAACTTTACGGTTTGTAATGTATAGGGGTAAACAATAATTCACTGTCACATGTAAATATTAAGAAAATATGGTAAACAATTTCAAAAATATAGTAGGTGCATTTTGCATTTCTATAGGATCCGAATGCGGATGTGGCATCTGTTTTGGAGAGTCTGCCAACGTAGTTTGCTTCTCATTCACAACTTACTCCATGATAAAGAGTATAGACATTTGAAAGATTATTCTCTGATCATTCTTCAGGAAATAGAAAATCTTACGCCAGCTTTACAAAAAGCTTAGAATGAATATATTCATTCACACTCGTATAAGTTTTAACCCAAAAAGTGAAACAGAAACGAGGAATGTAGCTTCTTGTTCATGTGAAGAAACTTTATTAGCATATGTGTGTACACAATATAATGTAAGTTATACAATCTCCGGCCATCAGGTTTTTCAAGAGTCATTCCCATGTCTGTCATCAAGAAAAGCGGATATGAGAAAGAAACAACAACTCAGAAGGAACAAAGTAAGTTGAAAAACTGAAATGAATATATTTTTGCATAAACTCTCTGATTTCTCCTTGTAAGATATCACGTATAGGAACTGGGAAGTAAAACCCTAAAATAAGAAATGATGAGTAAAATGGTCCTCTTGGTAATGATGATGGCAAAAAAAGAAGAAAAGAGCAGAAACGGACAGAAGAGATTCAAGAAGCCATCATGAGAAAAATCAGACTGATGATATAAGTAACTCTAACTCAAACAGAGAGAGCAACTGACACAAGAAAAAGAAGCACAAATGACAAGCAAAACAAAAGCAGCATCAGATTTAAAGGTTAAACATAGTACTCTAGCACTCAATAAACTCGTCTGCATTTACCGTGGCAGGAAAGTGAAATGAGTCAAAATTCATCATCATTACACCAATCTGCTCTTGTCCAATATTACCTGAACTCACAACATACAAAAGCTAAAACTCGTCTCATATATATCAAGATCTTATAAATAAAACTTACCTTTTTCAGAAGCCAAAACTCGTCTCATTTCAAAGCTTTGATTTTTGTCAAGAGAGGAAGTAACAATTGGGGGGAATGAAGCCTGGTCCGACAACACTAACTCATGATCCATAACCCCTTTTCATATAATCAACGAATCTTTATATTACAAAACTAATCTTTATGTTCAAATAAGCATAAAGTGGAGCTTATGGATCTAGTTGGTGACCTCGAGCCAGACAACATTCCCCTCAACTGAGAGAACTTCCTCCTATGAATCTTGAAAGAAACTAAGAGAGAAAGGAAGGGAAGAAAGGGGGAGAAGAAATTGTTTAGTTGTTGAGACTGAATGAAAGAGGAGGGGGATAGAGATGATAATAAATAAAGGATGGAGAAAGAAAGAGAGAGGGGGTATGTACTGTGTGGGAAAGGACAAACAAAGTCATAAAAGCATAGCAACAGACACCATGTCCCCTTGGCCCTACATTATTCACAATTGGTTAACTGGATCGAGAAATGACCACGACAATTACCAAAACTCTCCCTTTCATCGTGTGTCACCACCTCCTCAAGATACCGAGTGAGAAGTTTATGGTTCAAAATATAATAGATTTAAGTTAACGAATTCTAAACTAATAATTTATATATATTTAGTAAATTTTTTTAGACAAATGTATATGTTTGGATTCAAGCTACTGAATTCGGCTGAATCTGTAACTTATGTTCTAGCTCCGCCCTTGATCTCCTCTCTTGACTTTAACCTTGAACTAATTGTAGTATATACGTACTTACAAAGGGTGTACTGATAAGTGGAGATTTTGACTACTTATTAGAACCTTTTTGCTTTGGTTTTAGTCCAAAAAGAGTTTAATTGTGTTCCCGAAAATTGATGAAATATGTTTAATTGCAGGAATAGTGAAAAATGAGCCCCAAAGATAAAATCCAACTAAAAAAGGAGTGATCTAAACTCAAGGACGAAAACAGGCGCAAAAGCAAATCACATCAGAGACAAGTGAAAAGTGCAGTCCGAACACGAAATGTGCGGCCGCAGAATCTGGGCAAAAGCAAAAGTTCAGAAAATCTGCATTCCAGTTCAACAGAAGTGCGGACCGCACAATTATTGTGCAGCCATAGAAGATCAGCTACGCGGCCGCAATCATATTTGTGCGGTCCGTAGAAGAGCAATGTGCAGCCGCACTATGAAATGTGCGGACCGCAAAAAGAGTGAAGTGCCGCCGTAGTTCAGAATTATGCGGCCGCAGGTTTCCATTCCTGCCAGGATGAAGCAAAGTGCGGACCGGACATGTAATTGTGCGACCGCAGAACCTCCGAAAGGGCATTTTTGTCCAAAAATTCTAGCACTGTATAAATAGAAGAGATTCACTTTTTTAGGTCAACTTTTGACATCAGCAGCCATTCTAGACGTTTTACTTTGCTCTTTTTAGTAGTTTTTGCTATTTTGAGCTTTTTGAATAATACTTTTATCATCTTAATTATTATTATGGGTTTAATTATCACTTATTCTTCTTTTTCTATTTAAGTATGAGTAGCTAGACTTTCACTAGGGTTGTGACCAAACACTAATGTGTAAATTTAATGGATGTTTGATATTTTATTTGTTTATGGTTGGGTGTTGATTATCTAGCCTTGTTCTCGCTTTTATTTGAAGAATTAATGGTTGCATACATTATTTCACGCCTATTTGACTTGGTTTCTACTTGAGAAAGAGAGACTTAGTCTAGAAAAATTCTGCTAGCAAGAAATTGGGTCAATCGAGAGATTGATAAGCCCAATTAAAGGGTTGAATCTAGAGATAGTAAAACCCGACTTGAGCTTATTATCAATTGCTTTGTTCAATACCTATTTGGACTTGAGAAAGCCAAATTAGGCAAAATTACTCTCTGACCGAGAGGTATTGAGTGAGTACTTGAGTGTTGATAGCTATAATACACCCCGACCAATAAAATAAGCTTTAAGGCTTACAACCCATTAAGCGAACACCTAGGTAAATGTCATAGCCCTTGGCCTTTTTATCATTTGAAAAATAACCTAAAACAATTTCCTAATTTCGTTCTTAAAATTGCAATAGTAGTTTAAGTTAGATTAGCAAAAAAAAAAAAATATTCCGGAAGTGCAAATCAAGATATACAATTTCACGCACTAAGATATATACTACTAGCACCCATTCGCATAGCTCCCAGTGAAATTCGACCCCGACTCTGTTGGGTATTTTTATTGCATCGATCGTTTTCATATCCTCAAATAGAGGAGTGAAATTGGACGAGATCATATACTAAAACCATTCAATTTAAAGAGCCAATGACATAACATAAAAGTTTTTTTTATCATAAAGCTTTTTAAAAAAATTCAATCCATTATTAGGTAAAGTAGTTTAGCTCTTTTAGTTATCTAATAGAATATCTAATTAACATGAAAGCTTAACCGATAGGCATAGTAAATGAAAACATTTATTATCCGCCTTGGATACTTTTATATACCATATTCAAGATGTTTTATACTTCTAACACCATCATGCGCAATTTAACCTACTTTATGGACAAGATATGGAGTAGTTCAAAAACTTTGCATAAATTCTTCAGGATCCCTTCATATACACTCAACATGTCAAATTGTGAGCGGGGGATGAAGAAATTACAGCAATGGTGGTCGAGGGAGATAACTACATACTATTGGAAATGAAGGCTCTCGGAGAATGAGCTCAAATGAATTCCTCTTCTTATTTTATATCTCTAAAATCTATTATATACAAAGCTGACTTCAACCAACTGATATCTGACAGCTCACTAACAACTCATCTAACTAACTAACCGACTCTTAACAGATAATTAACACTACACCTAACTACAGTTAATTCTACTAACTCTAACTATAGTTAACTCCTAGACTCATTAAGTAACGTCACTCTCAACACTCCCCCTCAAGCTAGTAGGTGCAAAGACATTAAGCACTCCCAGCTTGGAAACCAAATATTCATGTTGTGATTTCAACAGTGCTTTAGTTATGATGTATGCTTGTTGCTCACTTGAGCTTACATGATGTGTTTGCACTATCCCTTGCTGAATTTTCCCCCTTATAAAATGACAATCCACTTCTATATGTTTTGTCCTTTCATGATAAACTGGATTAGCTGCAATCTGCAATGTTGCTTTGTTATCATAATATAGATTAACAGGTTCCCTCACTTCTTCTTCCAGCTCCTTAAATAAGCCAATTAGCCACATCAATTCTGATAGTGTAGAAGCCATACTCGTGTACTATGATTCTGCTGAGCTTCTTGATACTGTAGTTTGCTTCTTTGATTTCCAGGCAATGAGTGACTCACCATGCTTCACTCTGAAGCCTATAATTGACTTCCTGGTGTTTGGGTATGATGCCCAATCAACATCACAGAATGCTATCAATGTGTTGCTCTTTTTACTACTCATTAATACACCCATTCCAGGTGTCATCTTCACATATTTCACTACTCTTAAAGCTGCTTCCCAATGAGATTCTTTAGGCTGTTGCATGAATTGACTATCTGCACTGTATAGGTAATGTCTAGCCTAGTCATGGTCGGGTAGAGCAATTTTCCAATCAACTTTTGATATTGCACTTCGTCTTCCAACAGCTCATCTTTTGTGGTTCCAGTAACTTCATCAAGTTCCTTTGTTGTAAGCTTTTGATTGAATTCCAGGGGAGTCTCAATTGGTTTGGAACCACTCAAACCTAAGCCTGTTATCATCTCCAAAGTGTATTTTTTTTGGTTCATCAAGATTCCCTTATTTGATCTAGGGAACTCAATGCCCAAAAAATACTTAAATTCACCAAGGTCCTTCATCTTGAAAGCTTGTTGTAGGTCCTTCTTAGTGGACCCTATTAAACTCATGTCACTGCATGTGATCAACATATCATTAACATAGACTAAAACTACTACAATGCTCTTATCTTGTCTCTTAGTAAATAAGAAATGATCTTATAAGCTTTGATTGAAGCCTAGGCTGAGCAATGCATCTGTTAATTTGACATTCCATTGTCTGCTAGCTTGCTTCAAACCATACAAGGATTTGATAAGTCTGCATACTATATTATTCTCCCCGTGAATTCCAAAAACTTGTGGAAGTTACATGTAGACTTCATCATACAAGTCACCTTGAAGGAAAGCATTGTAGACATCCATTTAGTGCAAGTTCCAACCTTCACTAGCTTCTAGAGGCATCACTGCCCTGATGGTGACAATCTTCACTACAGGAGAGCGGTGACAATCTTCACTACAGGAGAGAATATTTCATTATAGTCCAATCCATCATGTTGACTGTATCCCTTAGCTACTAGCCTCTTTTTATATCTCTCAATATCCCCATCAGCCTTGTACTTAACTTTGTAGACCCACTTACACCAATAGGCACCTTGTCAGCGGGTAGTGCAACTAGTTCCCAGGTCTAGTTGTCTTCAAGAGCCTTTAACTCTGTCTGCATGCCCTCAATCCAAAGTGGATATTTAGATGATTCATGAAAAGTCTGAGGTTTCACTATGGAGGTTAATGCAGCTAAGGATTGCCTGTAAGAAGGTTTGAGTCTGTCATAGGCAATACTGGCATGAATAGAGTGTGGTGGTTGTGCTGTGCTCTTGGACTTTGGTCCAATGATGAAGTCTGTCATCCATGATGGTTGCTGTTTATTTCTCTAAGACTGTCTCAGATGTGCATTAGAAGAATCAGGTAGTGACACTGTTGCAGGAGGTTGAGGGAAATGAGCAGCATCAGCAGATGAATCAGGTGCAAGCAAGAGATCATCAGTAGGTGCAGATAGTGGGACATCAGCAAGTGGTGATGTAGTGTATGGCACATGGTCAGCCGACTCTCCAGTTGGTGAACCATGTGTGATAGGATCATGCAACTCACTATGTTGCAATGATTGATCTAGTAGAACTTCAGAGTCTGTTGCAAAGGGAATATTAATTTCTGCAATATGATAATTGTCTTCCATATAACTGGTGTCCTCTAAAGGCATTCGCCAAGCTGTATCATTTAAGAAGAGCTTAGAAAGTAATATCCATGTTAATAAAAAAAGGAATGGTTAACTAAATCATATAATATATATTCTCTTGTTACTTTTGAGTATCCAATCATTGTTGCAGCCACTGCTCTTGGTCCAAATTTGTCATGCAAAGGTAGCTTTTTTGTATAACTTAGACATCCCAACACTCTTAGATGACTCAAGGTAGGTCTTCTCCCATGAAAGACTTCATATGGACTCTTGTCTTTTAGAACTGTCGAAGGCATTCTATTGATGATGTATGTGGCAGCCAAAACACAATGACCCTAGAATTTAAGTGGGATTCCTCCCTGAAATCTAAAAGCCCTGGCAACTTCTAAAACATGTGTGTTTTCTCTTTGCCTCCCTATTTTACTGGGGTGTATAGACACATGTTCTTTGATGTACTATCCCAAGAAAAATTAAGAGCTCCTTGCATTCATTTTTTATGAACTCACTTCAATTGTCAAATCTGATTACTTTAACTGCTTTGTTCAATTGTGTGTGCACCATTTTAAGAAACTGTCTTAAAATGACTACAACATCACTTTTCAATTTCAGCAAAAATAACCAATTAACTCAAGAGTGATCATCAACAATAGTAAGAAATAGTTTATTGCCATCATAAGTCTGTACATTGTAAGACCCTCAGACATCTATGTGTAGCAAATGAAAAACTTCAGTAGCCATACTTGTACTATTTTAAAATGGTAATCTAGTATGTTTAGCTAATGGGCAAACAGAACACTCTTATATTGTTTTAGTGCTATCTATTAAAGGCAAATCAAGATATTTTCTAATCACTCCAACAGGTGCATGCCCCATTCTCTTGTGCCACAGTCCAATGTCCATGTTCTCTGATCTTGTGTTCAAACTCTTAGCTGATGATGTAGTGTTATCAGTAGAAAATTAAGGCAATGGGTATAGGCCATCATCCTCTTTACCAATCCCCCTCACTCTGCCAGTGTAGAGGTCCTAGAACACACATAAATCATGCAAAAAAAAGAACAGAATATTGCAGCTCTTTAGTGATCTTAGATACTGATAAAAGATTATATTTAAAATCGGAAATATATAGCACATTATTCACTAATATCCCTGCTATATGGCAAGATTCAACACGTGATACATCAGTAACACTACCATTTGGCAGATGGACCTTCTTAGTGTTATTAAGTTTGATCATTTCAAACAACATGGTTAAATATGAAATCATGTGATTTGTTGTTCCTCTATCCACAATCCAGTTTCTAGAATCAGAATTAACAAATAGTGCTTTGATAGTACCTGCCATATTGGCTGAACTTTCTGCATGATTATCATTATTGAGCAACTTCAGGATTTGATTATACTGTGTTGGTGTGAAGTATGGAGTTGGTAAACCAGCTGCAACATTTGTACTATTGTTGTTTCCACCAAAATTTGTTGCTCTATGTTCTTCAACTGTTACATTGTTAGCAGTGTTGTTTCCAAAGCTAGGAGTATTGTTTCCAAACCTCTTTTTAGGTTTAAAATCAGCTGGATAGCCTATGATTTTAAAGCATTCCGCACGTGTATGTCCCTTCATCTTGAAAAATCATATTGTACATTATAATTCCTCATTTGTCTTTGCATACCTCCACTCCTAGCAGCCATTAGAGATGACATCTCCGCTTCTTCAGTAGGAACGGAAGCAGCAGTCATGCTCCTTTGACTCTCCCGTTTAGTGAACATGGAGTAGGCCTTGTTCAAAGTAGGTGTAGGCACCATCATAAGAATCTGGTTGTGAGCATGTTCATAAGACTCATTAAGCCCCATGAGAAACTATAGCAGCTTCAATCGTTCCATGAAAACAATAAATTCACGCGACTTAGCACAGTCACACCTAGGAATTGGGGCTAAACAATCAAATTCTGCCCATAACAACTTCAATTTCGAAAAATATGTTGCTACTGAGCTGGTTCCCTAACTAATCGTAGCAATTTGCTTATGAATCTGAAAAATCTCAGAGCAATCTACCTTATCAAATCGCTCCTTCAATTCATTCCAAACTGCACATGCATTTGAAGAATATACAATTCAGTTGAAACACAATTCATTATCCATGAAAGGACAATGGCGTTACATCGTTCCCATAGATCAACGAGATTTGGACCATAATCCTCCCTTTTGCATGTGCCTTCGATGAACCCTAACTTATTGCGACAAAGGATCGCAATTCTCATCGCTCGACTCCATACAGAGTAATTCTCTGTCCCTCTCAGTTGTAGTGAGATTAGTACTGCACCTGAATTATCATTCACTATCAAAAATAATGGATGATTGTGGCTTAATTTCTCCGACAAAGTGTCGTTGACAGCCATGGTCTTCGAACGAAGAAAAACTCAGGTGAATTTCTGATGAATTCGAACAATCAATCCTCAATCTCCCATAGCTCTGATACAATGTCAAATTGTGAGCTGGAGATGAAGAAATTACAGCAATGGTGGTCGAGGAAGACTACAACACAGTATTGGAAATGAAGGCTTTCAGAGAATGAGCTCAAATGAATTCCTCTTCTTATTTCATATCTCTACAATCTATTATATACAAAGCTAACTTCAACCAACTGATATTTGGCAGCTCATCTATAACTGACTCTTAACAGATAATTAACACTACTCCTAACTGCAGTTAATTCTACTAATTGTAACTATAGTTAACTCCTAGACTCATTAAGTAACTCCACTCTCAACACAACATAGTATAATTAAGATAAAATCATAGGTGTGGGAATTTAATCAAATAGTTTTGGTATCCTAATATATACTTGATGTCGAACGTTGTAAGATTTAGCACTTATCAAAACGTAACATATATTTCCTCCGTTTCAAAAAGAATAAGACAATTCATTTATTAGTCCGTTAAAAAGTTATATTGACAAATTTTAAATATTTTGCAGTTACACGAAAAATATGGCGTATTTAAGATTACAAATTTAAAAAATATTTTTTTATTTCTTAAATTTTATATATCCAATCAAATTGCATCATATGAGGGACTATTGTAAAATAAATATCGACAAAGGTATTTGGGTGGATTGTCAACCAGAAAAAGTAATAGAAAAGAAAAGAAGGGGAAAAAAGAAAAGCAAAAGGGGGAATTTTCAGTAAATTACCTAATAGGAGTATAAGCATCAGGTACATTTTTCACAAAATCATAACCAGGAAGTCAGCAAAAAGGGGGGAAAGATGAAAAATCAGAAAAAGCATGATCCGCACTAAGAATAATTAGTATAATATCTTACTCCAGGAATGAGGATAAGAGAAATATCAGAAGAAGAGAATGACAAAAATAATAAGTAAACGTATATCACGAGATCGAAGATATATATAATAATAACATGAATAGGTAAAAACTTGACAATGAAATAACACAACAGTATTTTGATTTCAGAAACAAGAAAACTTAGACTATCAATAGCGGGGCCAATTGGGTGTGACACCAAAAGATTTGTCAACTCAACTAGAGAAGGAATCTTTTACATAGTATGACAAATTAGCATTTGTGTAGGTTACATGTTCTGGGTAATACGCAAGTAAAAAGAATGAGAGTATGCTAAAACTACTTGCCACTATTTAAATTAATTAGTTGAAATTGGTATTAAATTCACCGTTATAATTTGTTCGCTAATATTTAAAGGATTCATCACGTTATAACCTTCCACATTAATTTTGACTAATTGTTATCT